ATCTAAAATCGTATGACCTACACGTTTGTACAATATATGGAGGTTAAAAAATCCTCGTCTTGTGTTAAGTTTATGGTTCAAGAAAATAACGCCGAAAACGAAGCACCACAAAGAAGGAGAAAATGTTTTACTAAAAATATTCCTTAGTCGATTTCATTGGTCCACTCCTTCTGGTACCTCTCCCACGGAGGGTAAACATTTTGAATACTTAGATATTAGATATTTATACTAATAATATATTTAGTGCAACAACCGGATATATACAGTATGTCAATAATGAGTTTACACATTGAATAAATAAAAACTTTTTCAATTTTCTTTGTAATCTTTACTAAAGAGAGTAAAGTAATTGACTGACTGACTTAACGATTCATCAACTCTCAGACGAAACGGCTGAAGCTAGAATCTTGATTTTTTAGGTGAGCGTCGCTCTTGGTTAAAAGGTGATAAGGATAAGGCGGGGTTTTTGTAAATCCGTAATAGAACGGTACGAAAAGTACAAAATGTGGCTCCATTTGCATTCCGGTAGAGGTAAAACTCTTAAATTTGAAATGCGGGTCACTGATGGAGTGTAGAATAGATATGGCAGAGGGGTTTTTGGATATTCGAAATACGTGTATCCGAAAAGTACTAAATTTGGTACAATTTCGTAACATGCCAATGGATAGATCTGAAACTTGAAATTTGGAGTAAGGAGATGGGTAAGGAGATGGCTTTGAAAGCGTGTACTCATGTATACGAAAAGTACTGTATGGTACAATATTTAGTACAATTTAAATTTGGAGGTGCAAATGGAGCTGGAATCCTGAAATATGAAATTAATTAATTAAGGATTGGGATATGTGTTCCAGTTGTACAATTTTTATTTGGGTGAAACGATAGAGGTGGAATCTTAAAATTTGAATTTAGGATCACTGTTGGGGAGTGGGATTGGGCATTTGACATTTGAAGTTAGGATCACTGTTGGGGTGTTGAACCGGGCTATGCAGGAAGTTTTAGGAATGTATACTAAATGACACTAAATTTCGGTATAATTTGGGTTTAGAGACTTGGAGTACTAAAATTGGAATATGAGATCCATGGGATGAGATGATATAATTTGTACTTATGTGTACTAAATGGTACTCTATTTGATACAATTCGGATTTGGGTGAACCGATATCGCTGGAATCGTGTTTTGGAATTAACATTGGGGTATGTTACGAAGTTTTGGAAATTCGTACTTATGATTGTTCGTGTTATGATTGTTGGGTTTAGAGACCTGGAATACTAAAATTGGAATATGAGATCCATGGGATGACATGATGTAATTTGTACTTATGTGTACTAAATGGTACTCAATTTGATACAATTTGGATTTGGGTGAACCGATATAGCTGGAATCGTGTTTTGGAATTAACATTGGGCTATGTTACGAAGTTTTGGAAATTCGTACTTATGATTGTTAAAATAGACCATCCTAATTGCTGTGAACGACGACGAATCGACACTTTTGGGTCTTCGGACCCAAAAGTGTCGATTTGCACGAAATTTGGCACAGCGTAATGAATTAGGTCTAGAATAATGTGTGTTAAGTTTCGTGAAAATCGGTTCAGATTTAGGTATAGCTCTCATATATAGTTTCGTCCGATTTAAGGTAAATGGTACACCAAAGTCCCTATATATCTTTCGATTTGAAATTTGGCATATCGTAATGAATTAGGTCTAGAATGATGTGTGTTAAGTTTCCTGAAAATCGGTCCAGATTTAAATATAGCTCCCATATATATTTTCGTCCGATTTTATGTAAATGGTCCACCAAATACCCCATATATCTTTCGATTTGCACGAAATTTGGTATAGTGTACTGAATTAGGTCTAGAATGATGTGTGTTAAGTTTCCTGAAAATCGGTCCAGATTTAGATATAGCTCCCATATATATTTTCGTCCGATTTAATGTGTATGGTCCACCAAATACTCTATATATCTTTCAATTTGCACGAAATTTGGCATATCGTAATGAATTAGGTCTAGAATGATGTGTGTTAAGTTTCGTGAAAATCGGTTCAGATTTGGATAGAGCTCCTATATATATTTTCTCCCGATTTAATGTAAATGGTGTACCAAAGTCCCTATATATCTTTCAATTAGCTCGAAATTTGGCATATCGTAATGAATTAGGTCTAGAATGATGAGTGTTAAGTTTCGTGAAAATCGGTTCAGATTTGGATATAGCTCCTATATATATTTTCTCCCGATTTTAAGTACATAATGCATATAACTTAACCAGTGATAAGTTGCAATGAAATCGGTTTAGATTTCGATATATATATATATCATATAGTCGGTCCCGTCCGACTTTACTACCTTCCTTACTGGTTTTATAGAAGGTTTTGGTTACTTTTATGCGTTGTGAGATAATTTTGCGATCCATTTTCGTCAATGTCAGACTTTTAACTGAAACAATATAGTTTCACAGATGTCGTGCCGTGTACCTTACCCCCCAAATTCAGGATTGGTGTGTACTACATACGATTTGTCATAGACTGAGGGCATATATTTCTCAGCAACACCGAATAAAATAAAAATACAAGTCATTTTTTTTAATCGGAACATATAAAACTACCTTTTTCCTCTGAAGGTCTTTATACTGGTTTTATAGAAGGTTTTTATGCGTCGTGAGATAACTTAGCGATCCATTTTTGTCAATGTCAGACTTTTAACTGAAACAACTTAGTTTCACAGATGTCGTGCCGTGTACCTTACCCCTCAAATTCGGGATTGGTGTGTACTACATACGACTTGTCATAGACTGAGGGCATATATTTCTCAGCAACACCGAATAAAATAAAAATACAAGTCATTTTTTTTTGGTCGTCTGACGATGAAAATGACAAAGCGACGTTCGTCTTTTTTCTTTGCCTTTGCCTTCTATCAGGCAGTGATTTCTGCTTTGGTCCTCGACTAATAGTCTCAAAGGAAAAGCTGACTCGCCGCCATTTAAAGTGCCTCGGCATTTTCACAGTTTCTTTGTATTGCAGACTACCGCTGGCTTTGCACCACCAGTCGCTGTTCCGTTTGTGTGAAGATGCCAAACGACAATTTGACTTAAGATTTTTATAATGGTAATTTTCTTAAGATTTATTTTGTTTTGTTCTCTTTCTTTGTGGTGCCTAAGTGAGTTCCTTATGTACCCTTTCGGCAGTTGATCTTAATAGGTGTATTAATAGTTATGGCGTTCTATTTCCCGTTGTAGCGTCAATGAAAAAAAGAAAAAACATTAAATTCTAAACGAAAGAAATATTATATTTAGTTAGATAAAATGGGAACGGAAATAGTTATTTGACAAATCCGCAGATGATGTTAAGTATCATAATAAGATTTAGAATCCAACTGCATATTAAAACCAGTAAGGAAAGCAGTAAAGTCGGACGGGGCCGACTACCCTTCACCACTAACATTTGGAGTTTGATGCCCAATTTACTTAAAATCGGGCGAAAATATATATGACAGCTACATACAAATATGTACCGATTTCACAGTTTAGGTTATCCTAATTTCAGTACATTTTGTTCCTATCAGCCATATATAGGTTCCTAGGTGAGTCAATTACTTAAAATCAATCTAAATCTCAACCGATTTTCACGAAACTTGGCATATATCATTCTGGACAAAATTCAGTACGCTATGTCAAATTTCGTGTAAATCGAAAGATATATGTGGACTTTGGTGCACCATTTACATGAAATCGGACGAAACTATATATGGAAGCTATATCTAAATCTGGACCGATTTTCTCGAAACTTGGCAGACATCACTCTAGGCTCAATTCAGTACGTTATGCCAAATTTCCTGCAAATCGAAGGATATATAGGGGCTTTGGTGCACCATATACATTAAATCGGTCGAAACTATATATGGGAGCTTTATCTTAATCTGAACCGATTTTTTCGAAACTTGGAAGACATCACTCTAGGCTTAAGTCAGTACGTTATGCCAAATTTCGTGCAAATCGAAGGATATATAGGGACTTTGGTGCACCATTTACATGGAATCGGACGAAACTATATATGGGAGCTATATCTAAATCTGGACCGATTTTTTTCGAAACATGGAAGACATCACTCTAGGCTCAATTCAGTACGTTATGCCAAATTTCGTGCAAATCGAAGGATATATAGGCACTTTGATGCACCATTTACATTAAATTGGTCGAAAATATGTATGGGAGCTATATCTAAATCTGGACGGATTTTCTCGAAACTTGGCAGACATCACTCTAGGCTCAATTCAGTGCGTTATGCCAAATTTCGTGCAAATCGGAGGATATATAGGGACTTTGATGCACCATTTACATGAAATCGGACGAAACTATATATGGGAGCTATATCTAAATCTGAACCGATTTTCTCGAAACTTGGCAGACATCACTCTAGGCTCAATTCAGTACGTTATGCCAAGTTTCGTGCAAATCGAAGGATATATAGGGACTTTGGTGCACCATTTACATTAAATAGGACGAAAATATATATGGGAGCTATATCTAAATCTGGACCGATTTTTCCCAATTTCAATAGGGTTCGTCCTTGGGCCAAACAAATGAGCTGTGCCGAATTTCATCCAAATAGGATTACAAATGTGACCTGTACTTTGTTTACAATTTAACACCAACAGACGTACGGACGGGCGGACATGCATAAATCGACTCAGAAAGTGATTCTATGCATATTCTCAAAAGGAACTATGGGTCTATCTCGTTTCCTTTTGCCTGTTACAAACATATTCACAAAGACATAATACCCTGTACCACAGTGTGGTGAAGGGTATAAAGGCAATTTTATAGATCTGATCCATGTTTATATTTCCTATTATTTCCTTAAAAATTATATTTGTAATAGATTCTAAAATCCTAATTGCAATTATACATATTGTCAGGTAAGTTATTGTAAATACTCTATAGCTTTCTTTCTCTCCCTCGTCCATTATATGTATATATTCATATGTATATTAATGCGTGCTTTCATCTCCTTTCAATTTTCAAAACGGGTGTTTGTTTTAGCTCCAGCACAATTGAATTATAAAACTGCAAATCAACGTATTTGAAATCGGTTGAAAACTTGAAATTCATTAACAACTTTGCCAAGGCTACCTTCGTCGACAGGAGACCATATTTCCATCCTACATAATAAATAAAATGGATTAATGGATATAAGAAATAAATTGTATTATCGTCCTCCTACCTATACAGTTGCGCATTCCCTTTGTAAATGGAATAAATGCATACGGATGTCTTCCCTCCGTGTTACTGGGCAAAAAATTATCCGGATCAAATATATCAGCATTAGCGCCCCATAAATCTTTACGTCTGTGCATGGTGAAAATATTTAAACCAAATTGTACTCCAGCTGGTATAACTATTCCATTGGTTAGCTCGATTTCATGTGAATTTTCGCGTGCAACAAAGGGTACCGGTGGCAGTACACGCATAGATTCATTGATTACCATACCCATATAGATCATATCTTGAGTATTTTCATAGGTCACTTCAAAATCTCCTGCATGTGGAAATAAGGAGCGTAATTCCTTGTAGACTTTTTCTTGATATTCGGGGAACATTGCAAGCAGCATAAGGGTATAAGTAATTGTATTAGCTGTCGTCTCGAATGCCTAAAATTAAATATAACAATTTAAAAATAATAAATATCGAAAGCACCAACATCGGACGGACACATATTATTGACCCGTTGGTGTACCATTTCCGTGAAATTAGACGATAATATATGGAAATACATATTATCTAAATCCAAATATATATTCCAAAATGGGATTATTCCTAGGAAGAAATTATATCCCCGCTAAATTTCAGGGTTTATGGATATTAATTTACAAAACAGAAAATATTACCGCCAGAAGTATCGTATTTAATTCATCCTCCACTTGTTGCACTGTAAATTCGTTTTTTCTCATAAGTTCAATGGCTTGATCAAGGAAAATATTTAGATTCTTAGGTTCTCTCGGCGTCAAACTTTTATCCAGATTTAGCTTTCTGCTGATGAGCTGTAATATTTATTAGTCTATTAGTTTTTCTAAGCAATCAACTAATTTAAAATTTCAGATAAATACATCGATAGAAACACATTTTTGTACCCACCTTTCTAATAAATTTGCAATTATCGGCTTTGCATGTGCTGAATGGTTCGAAAACTCCCATAATCTTCCGAATGCAATTATTGGTTAGCCATGGCGAAAACACCATTTCATTTACATTTTCCAAAACACTAAAAATAGAAATCAAAACTTTGCACATTCATATTTTTGGATTAATATAAATATTTCTCATACCACTGATAGTTTTGTTTTAGACAATTATTCTGTCCATTTTTTCCATCTCCGGTGACATTAAGTCCGAACGTTGTTCCTGAAAAATGCAACAAACTTTAATAAAGATGACAAATAAAAAAATGAAAAACTTTAACTCACTTATAGCCACATTTAAAGTGTGATCTTGCATCAAAGTTGTCATATTCGAACATTCATTGTTTTTGTTCAATATGGTTATAATGTTATTCACTTCCTGATTAAATATCGGCATAAAACTTTGTAATATCTTAAAACTGAAAGCCGGATTTAATAGTTTTCTATGAACGCTCCATTCAGGTTCTAAAATGTTATTAAGATTGATATCCATTTTTTTTTTAATTTTTATTCGTTTCGAATTACCCTTGGAAGTGATAAGACCTCTGCCAATTCCTTTTATAAGCGGTTCGTAGAGTAGACCTTTATTGGTGCAATAAGGCGATGTCAATATGTCACGAATAATATCCGGTTCGGTTATAAGTAATACCGGATAGGTACCCAACCATGTATACATCATTGGACCAAACGACTGAGAGTATGTGTGTATCACATCCAAGATTTCTGGAAAAATGTTTGTAGATTTTCAATACATATTGGCTAGAATTGTGATTTTCTCTCTAAACTTAAGTAGAGGTTTTAAATAAAATTTCTTCTCAATATTTTTCATAATTTCGTGTAATATATTTTTGATAGATCTCCTACATAATATTGTATAAAATGCAACAGATAAATGGATGAATAAAATTTAATTGTAATTTTCTGTTGTATAAAAAATATGCACTTTACGATTTCCGCAAATTCTAGACTACTTCTCAAACCTAACCCTACCACATCGCATCGACAGATGACTAGAAGTACGTTCTATGTTGCCGCAGAAGGAACGATAAGTCCTAGTCCGCTACAGACGAAGTGGATATAATTTTACATTCTGGGTTCGTGGTGGGACTATATATGTAACTCCCCTTGGTATATTGAAGTAGATTTCTAAGGAAAAATTGTTCAAAATACTTTGCACAGAAATTAAATTTGAAAGCATGTTCAAAATGCTTTTAATTGAATTATTGCATTACTTAGGATTGCTTCGTTGGACTTTTTTAAGGTAAAATAACATGTACATATACGATTTTAAATCTACTCGATTACCGAAATCCAGAAATATGCCCTAATTGTTTACACATACCAAGGTGTAATTAATTTATTTTTGTCAAGAACTATTCTTTGAGGAATAATTAATGAATTTGTGTATTCTTGGGTTATTGGCGGTTTTAGGTCAGTAAAAAATAAAGTTTAAGACCTGGTCGCGATTAATTTCCCACAATTAGCCCATGGCTCCTTGTGGGATTTCTGGACAGATGCCCACAAATAACATAAAATATGTGGACCAATCGGCGAACGAGGTTATAACTGAGCCTAAGTTTTCTTTCCGTCCCTAGAATTTTTATTATTAAAAAAGCCTAAATTTAAAGACCATTTTTGAAATCGAAATGTAGTATTGAAAATGTTTTTGACAATTTACTTTACAAACAATAAAGAAAAAAGTTTGGAACAAGTGAACAAGCGTTAATTTCGGCCGGGCCGAACTTTGGATACCCTCCACCATAGATATATTGACAGGTACTTGAAATGAAAATGAAAATATAATATACCAAAAAGTGGACCTACAACACTACATTTCTACAAACCTATTATGTAAACCATAATACAAATTTCAAAATGGATAATTATACCCTCAGCCTTATGGCTAATGAGGGTGTATACACTTTGACACGGTGAAAATGTGCCTCATCGAAATATATTTGATTTAGACCCCATGTTGCTTTGGACAAAATCAGTTTCAGAACATTTAGATTTCATCCAAACTTTGCCCATCTTACTATTTCTTCCAAATTTAGTTCAATTTCGAAGATGGGGAATATCGGTCCACTCCTTCTGGTACCTTCCACACAGGGGCTAGGTCTAAATGCGGGTTATAGTTCATTATCGAACCTTACGTTCTAGTTTTTTTATCTCGATATCCTCCACAGGTAAAAATATTACAACAGAGACTTAGAACCTAACCCAAAACACAGATCAAATAAGATTTTTATATAAAAAATCAGATAACGATTTTAATATAAAAAATGGGGTTATATGGGGACTACCCCTAAAAAGGGGTGAATATTAATAATTTTTGGTGGGGAGATTTGTTACCATATACGAATACAAAATACCAAATTTCAGCGAATTCGGTTGAAAAATGCACTCAAGAACCCCAAAATACCGAAAATTGGGGGTACCCTTATATGGGGGCTACCCGAAAAAATGGACCTATGTTCATAATTTTTTGTGGAGAGATTTGGAACCTATTAAGAACTGAAAATACTAAATTACAGCCAATTCCGTGGAAAAATACGATCAAGACCCCCAAAATATTAAAAATTCGGAGGAGCCGTTATAAGGGGGCCACCAAAAAAATTGGACATATATTTATTCTTTTTTGTGGAGACATTTAGTACCAAATTTCAGTGAATTTGGTTGAAAAACGCGCTCAAGAACCCCAAAATACCGAAAATTGGGGGGTACCTTTATATGGGAGCTATGCCTAAAAGTGGACCGATATATCCTATAAGCTATCTTCCTTCAGAAGATAGCGAGATTACAACAGACGGACGGACATGGCTAGATCGTCTTAAAATTTTACCCTGATCAAGAATACATATACTTTATAGGATCGGAAATGAATATTTCGATGAGTTACAAACGGAATGACAAAATTAATATACCCTCCATACATATTTGGTGGGTATAAAAATTACAACAACGTAAATGTTTTTGAAATGCTGTGATCATTTGGAAAATAAATAATCACCAACAAAAAAACCGAAAAAAATTCTATAAACTATATTTGTTTTCGTTTGTTTTTTTATTTCTGAATTTGGCAACCCTAAAATATTAGGTTGGGGGAAAAATAAAACCAATGAAATCGAAAATGTGATAAAATTGGAGAAATAATCGAAGTTGACCGGCATGTTAGCATTCGTAACATCGTCCAGGAGCTAAAAATCGACCATAAAACCGTTTTAAAACATTTACACAAAACTGGATTCAAAAAGAAGCTAGAAGTTTGGGTGCCACACCAATAAATAGAAAAAATAGAATGGATAGAATTTCCGTCTGCGAAGCCTTGGCCAAACGGAATGAGATAGACCCATTTCATAAATGGATGGTTACTCGAGATGAGAAATGGATCACATACGATAACCCTTTTCGAAAGCTATTGTGGTCAAAGAACGATGAAGCACCTCAAACGGTTTCCAAACAGGAAGGTTTTGTTATGCATTTAGTGTGACCGGAAAGGGATTATTTATTATGAGTTGCTTCCATATGGCCAAAAGCTAAATTGTGATCTCTAACGTCAACAACTGGACCGTTTGACCAGAATTGGCCAAAGGGTGAGGTGTCGTGTTCCACCAGGGCAACGTTATGCCACACACATCTACTGTGACTTACCGGAATCTTCGGGAGCTTGATTGGGAAGTTTTAAAGCATCCGCAATACAGTCCGGACTTGGCACAACGAGATTATCATATTTTTCTTGCATTGCAAAATTTCTTTAATGACAATGATAAAAAAATGTTATCTAGGGAGGATTGTGAAAATCGACAACTAGTTTTTTGCATTTGGAGAGGTATTGTGAAGTTACCTTTAAAATGGCAACAAATCATACAACAAAACTGTGCATATTTGGATCAAATCGGACATTTCGAAACATATTGAATAAAATCCTATAGTTCATATAAAAATAATGGATTACCTTTTCCCCAACCTAATATTAAAACCATGGCATAATTATACAAGGTAGTCTCATGCAGTCATATGTTTCCAATTTTTTCATAAATTTCCCTTTGACAGTATTGAGCATTCAAAATTTAAATGAAAATAATTTCCTTCGAAATGTACGAATATCAAAAAGCAAAAATTGCTAAATAATTTATATTTATAAATACTTTGAAGTTCCCTTTCACTAAAACTTATAAATATAATTTGTAACAATCATGGTTAAATCTTGAGAGCAATATTCAGCTTTAGAAAATATATTTTGTTTAATTTATTGAAAATATGCCAATCGACATATGTAAAATTTAAGGAATTTATTTTTAATAGTATTTCAAATTGATACTTGGTATAATGATATAAGGTAACAGCAAGTGTTGTTGTACAACAAACGATACAACAACCACATGGAAATTTGTTGTTGTAAGTTATACTAATGTCAACGTCATTTGACTGAAAAATGTAAACAAACAAATTATCAACAAATTATATTTGTTTTGAAAATGTAATATAATCCTCAAAATAAAGTTTGAAAAACATGAATGAAAAAACATGATTTAAAATAACCCCTGCCGCACGATGATTTAAGGGGACCCCCCCATTCTCGGGGTCAAAAATTTTGTTGATATAATTCGAATCTACACTAATTCAAGAATGTCCCTACAAAATTTCAAATGAAAATCTCAAGAAGTCTTGAAGATATTTTAGAGCGAAGTCAATAATCCTAGTTCATACGAGAGCCAGACATGTACTCTTTCTAACACCGTTGGAATTTTCGGATTGCGATGTTCCAGTGAGGAGTTATCATGCCCGCCATCGAAAATAAGGACCTTTCTTTAATTACAAAAAAACAACAACAAAACAATAACGAAATTTTTTTTGTAAATTATTTTTCTTCTCTTTTAAATCTTCAATTATATATGTATGTGTAAAGTTACAAACCTTAACAAGCATTGGCATTGATTTACCAGCCCATTGAAAATCTTGAAAAATTAAAATAGTGAAGGGGGGGGGGGGGGGGGGGTTCCCTTAAAGTTATAAAATTCAGCCTATTTATATTATTTGAGTTTAATGATAAAAGTATTGTGTGTTTGAGATTGGGCTGAGTAAAATCAGTTTAAGTAGTTCTTAAGAAAAAAATGTTTAACAATTAAATCAGAATTAAAATAGCAACCAAATGGCGAGATTGTATATTTTTCTCATCTTTTGTGAATGGTCGTGGTGTGACGTTCATTCGTAGTTTGGCCACTGACCAGATGCTGCAGTCTGGTACATTTTATGCTGAAGATATTATCGAACATTGTCGAGGGTATAAAAAGTTCGACCCGGCCGAACTTAACGTAGTTTTTATTTCTTTTTCCAATCTTAGATGATTTTGTAAAACATTTTGTTTTTACGAATTTAGAATTATACTTCGTACACTTCTATATTTAGGAATAATAATAATATATTTTTCTCACGATTATTTTGCTCTTATTTAACCCTCTCAACAAATTATTTATCCACATAAATTGTCGTTTGTCGCGACCCACTTTACCACAAAGATAATACACAGTTCACACCACATACTTTGCTTATTGGTTACATCTAGGGCACGTCCTAAAAAGGGATATCCCACTAATCCTGGTAACTTCAATATTAAAGCATAATACTTTCGCCGTGTCCATAACCAATAAAGCCACACACACACAATCACACAAATAGACCAATATGACATTTTCCGACCGATAAAACCAGGCGAGGAGGATAACACGTCTTTATAGATCGAACTAATACGATTATTTAAACATTTAAAATAGAATATCGTCAAATTTATAACGCCGATTGGCGAACATTTCAAATTGATTGCAAACCAACCAACAATTTTCCTATGTTAATATTAATAAATTACTCAAACACATTGATTAACCAACGATTATCATAAGAGGTGTTTAATGCGTCACGTTTTATGAGTAATTATCATTTGTTGAATGCGTTCCATTATTCACATCTTTATAAAATACATTTGAGGAACCATAAAGGCACATATAAGTAATACAAAAACAGCATGTAATGCATCCATGTAGGATACGAATTTAAATGTATTCTTCCCGAATATAAGAATATGTTCAATTATACCTTCGTATTTTGTTGACGTATTTGTAATCGTATATAGCGAATTACTAACATCATTGAACTGTATTGAATACTCTGATAGACGTTTTCGTTTTTACTAAAACATAAAAACGTATTGTCTATGTATTGGCAATTTTCTCAAAAATATTCCTGGTGTTCTTTTCTATTAAGGACACGATCAAGTTTCGGTCAGTGGCCCAGATATCACATGGGATATGTGTTGTATTTATAAGTTCAAAACAATTTGTTCCATTATTGTGCGCTTTTAAGCACCCTTATCCTGAAGTACTTGGAAAGTAGTTACAAAATATCCATTTAATTGCCTTTAATTCGGTATTCCCCATAGGGTAAGAAACTTCCCTCATAATTGCCGGTATAGTTTTTGGTATAGGCTCCACATAATGGAACAGCTTTATCTTTACTTTACCATGTCTTACTGTATTTTATTTGAGAAAAAATTTCACAGCCAATACATACTATGCAAATTTCTTTACATAACATAACTTATATTTTCTAACTAAATAAATCTTGATTTTATGGAAAACGTGAGCAAATAATGATAACGAACTTTCTCTTTTCGATTTCTTATTATTAAATTTAACTCTAAAGAAAATATAAATTTATTTTCATTACAATAGTTTTTTCAAGGCAATGACAATACAATTAATTGTAGAAAAATAACATATTTTGAGAATTTTCCATAATTGACAATTACTTAAAGATATACGCTGCCCATTTCGACCAAAATATGTCCAAAAAGAACTACGAAGAGAAGAAACCATAAAGCTTCGATATAAAATGTGTGGAAATGCTAATATCTTTCAAAATATATTTTGCAACATTTTCGCGGATTTTTCTCAAAATGTTCTTTCATTAAAACATTTCCACTTAAATTACAGACTACTAACAGTAACGGACCAGCCTTTTATTTAAAATAATTTTTGCAAGATTTTCGCTGATTTTTCTCAAATTTTTCTTTCATAAAACCCTTCCCACTGTAATTATCGACAACATAAAACAATTTTGAGTCAAATCGGTCCAGCCGTTCTCAATTTATGCGTTAGTATACATTTTTTTGGCTCCATTTTTATACCCTACACAACTATGTTGTCAGGGTATTATAGCTTTGTGCAGCCCCAAAAGTTTGTAACGCAGCGAAATATTGGTCCTAGACCCACCATTAAGTATACCGATCGTCATATCTCGACTAGCTGAGTCGATCTAGACATGTGTGTCCCTCCGTCCGTCTGTCCATTATAATTTGTAAACACGATACAGGCCACAGTTATGGACCAATCTTCACGAAATTTGCGTGCAAGATGTGTTCTGGCCAATGAAGCCCCCTGTTAGGACATGAAATGGACCAAATACTCAATTTTTGTCAGTTTTTCTGGTCGCTCCAGAGGCCACAGTTATGGTCCGATTATGGTCAAGGACGACGCCTAAAGTTTTCGGTGAAGTTGAGATTTCATTCAGGGGGTGCAATGAACCGAAAACTTTAATTTTGTCTGATTTTCTATTCGCTCTAGAGGCAATTATTATATGCAGAACATCACATATATTACAATGTGAAGGGGATCTTAACGAATACTTAGAGCGGCTGTATAGATGATGATCGGTCAATATTCCGAGGGTCAAATCAACCGAAACATAAAGTGACCAATTTTTTATTTTATGGCGTAATAATAAACTTCAAAAAAAAAAAAAAAAAAAAAATGGAAAATATGCCAGGGTTAAAAAGTTGAGTTGTTGATCAATAATCGGTAAAAAGCAAATATCACGAAATATTGCCCAGGCTCAAAATATATAACCGCAGAAAGTTTGCTTTTCGTGGTAGTTATGTAGGGTATCATATGGTCGGCCCCGCCCGACTATACTGCTCCGCTCACTGGTTATATATATATAGAAGATAATACACCGGTTATAGGATACTTCAAACTTCTCGATATCATTCTTGTAGTACGATTTATTCATTGCCAAAGTATGAATTACATTTCATTTCAAGGCGTACATACATATGTAATCAATAATAGCAATACGATTATTGTCTGATTTAATTTGTTTGAACTCATTATAGAAACAACCAACACGTGTTGCTAATTATAATTTATAGTTCATCCGATTTTGTATATATTTCTTGATTATTGTAAATACTACATCAGTTTATAATTGTCCGCCAGTCGGTTGTAATCATGTTAGCACCTCAACAACTACAGATTTATGGTCAATTATTGGAAGAAATGTGTCTGTTGATCTTCAAACAACAGATACGTTTTGTCAGGTTCAAAGATGAGATATAATCGGAAATAACTTGCCAATGAACATTTATCAATATTGGTTCAAATTCTGTAAGTTAGGTGGCTGCTAATATTTTCCAAAGGAATTCGTTCATGATTAGATACGAGGGATACGAGGCTACTGTATATATATATTTTGGTCATGTGTTGAGTGGTTTACATTGACGAGATTTACTACGAAAATAGGGCATATATGAACTTAAATCTTTCTATCTCGGTGCATCGCCATTGATGTCGTGTGGGTACTGCTGATAAGGCGTCATTAAAATAATCATATACGTACATCATATACAAATATTGTATTTAGCATTTCTATCGAAATAATTTGGAAAATACATATGGGTATTTTGTAACAACTATGCAGAGGTCAGTAAGAGTCTTTGAAATAAAGAAACAATGGAAAACAAAACTAGCGAAATCGAGTATGAGGGAAGTCGGAGGCTGTTAGCAACAGAAAAAGTAGTCAAATAAGCGCTTACAAAAACAACAACCAAGGAGTAAGGGGAGAACAAAACATGAAAACAGAGAGAGCAAATAGTTGTAAAGTAAAGCGAAGTAGGAAATAGTTATGATATTAATGAAATGTTTACATTTTTTGAAAAAAATGTGTATTTTTTTAATTCTATTCAAAGCGAAGGACCCATTACTTCACTCCTTCTAGTATCTCCCGCACAAAGGGTCAATATCTTATAAACAATTTGATCAACATTAAATCCGTAACATAAAACCAGTGAGCGGAGCAGTATAGTCGGACGGGGCCGACCATATAATACCCTACACAAGTTCCAAGAAAATCTAACTTTGCGTTATTTGCACCCTCTTGAAACCTGACTGAAGATCAACATATATTACTTATATTCAGTAGACGAGGGCTATATTTGTCCAGATTTTGTTTATCGTGGGTTATGTAGTGATCGACTCAAAAAAACACAAAATGTTAAGTTTTCGGTCGACTTCATCCCAAAATTATTATGTGATCATCACCGAAAATTATAGGCGTTGTCCTTGACCATAACTGGAATCTCATGGAAATTTTCAAAGCGATCAGCGCTATATTTCTGCCTTTAGTGTGGTATTGGGTTACTAAATAATGTCTGACTACGTAAGCACCTGTAAATATTTAAGTGTAACTCCCACATCTGAGTACATACGACCATATAATTCTTATCAATTTAAAGATCAACCACTCCTCTTGAACACACTATAAAGTTCTCGGGTCTTTGTCCTTCAGGGGCAAATATATACGCCATAGAATACAAATTTTGTCATTTTTCACACAAAAGTCAGGGTTCATTTGACCCGCTAAATATTGACCGATCTTTATAAAAACAGACATACTTATTCTTTGGCCCGATCCCCTTCTCAATGCAAAAATTCCCGGTATTTGGGTAATAATTTCGGCCTCAGGAGCGACGAGATATGATGATCGGTATACTTAAAGGTGGGTCTAGGACCAATATTTCGCGGCGTTACAAACTTTCGGAGCTGCACAAAGCTATAATACCCTGACAACATAGTTGTGTAGGGTATAATAATACACCGGTTATAGGATACTTCAAACTTCTCGATATCATTCTTGTAGTACGATTTATTCATTGCCAAGTTTTAATTACATTTCATTTCAAGACGTACATACATATGTAATCAATAATAGCAATACGATTATTGTCTGATTTAATTTGTTTGAACTCATTATAAAAACAACCAACACGTGTTGCTAATTATAATTTATAGTCCATCACAATAATCATTTCCGATTTAGTATATATTTCTTGATTAGTGTAAATACTACATCAGTTTATAATTGTCCGCCAGTCGGTTGTAATCATGTTAGAAGAAATGTGTCTGTTGATCTTCAAACAA